AAAAAAAGACCAGTGCAAGAAGTCTTGTACTGGAAAAAATTAGATTAAACTGGTTCAAAAATATATTGAACCTGAACTACAACAGTTATTTTTTTCGCTCGAAAAATGTTCTTCCTCGTAATTTTTCTTTGCTTGCTTCTCGTATCGTTTTTCTCGTAAACCTCGTAAAAAAAATCAAATTTCGCGCTCTAAAAATGTAAACAAAAGGTCGCGAAACTGATACACAAGCATGACCAATTGACATAATCGGTCCGATATGGGAAAATATCAGACCGAAAATTAGCCAATCAGAGCACGAGTCTTATAATTAATAAATACATTACACGATCACAAGATTGTTCTTTTTCTTTCTGTGATTGCTATCAAATTGTAGAATATTTTTGTTGGTAAAAAATTGTGTTTCGTGATGAAGAACAATTTTGAACCATGGTAATAAGATGATATACTAGTAAAAACTATTATGAATTTGTTAAATTACAATTGCAATACAAACGTGTGGATGCTAAATAGATATATCGTCGTATTACGTAACCTATTCATGTCAGAGAAATAAATTTACACATTCTACATTATATATATCCAGAAAGAATATCATACGAGTCTATATAGTAGAAACTAGACGCTCCCAGAGCGTTTACTAGGAAATAAACATAAATGGTACGTTTTGAATAATCTTCGTGAATAGGCCAAAATGTTTAGGCCCTAAGACACTGGAGAGGGATTGTAACAGTGGCATGAAAGCCACAATAGACACGTACATAATCAACCAAATTTACAGAAAGCCGCAAAYAACACCAACGAAGTGATAGTCAAACAGGGACAATTGAAGCAAGGAATTGAAGCGTACTAATGGTCTTTCGCCGGATTAACGATACCTCTCCTTTTCATGCACTTTATAACTTTCTCTTATTTATATAGATCACCACTTGCATTTGACGTCAAAGCAGCTTCATCTGGAGGACAAAACAAAAGATTTTTCCCTCTTGGGAACTAGAATCTATTCATTTGTCCTCCAGTTGGAATTGCATTCCCACGAACAGGGACCGCGGAGTGGGATCTTGTTTGGGGAGGCTAGTGGCGAGGAGGTACTAGGGGGGTCGGAAATTTCTGAAATCTTAACTCTCGGAAATGCCATTTCCAGCGTTTTGAGGCGTTATCCAAGACATATTTACCGCAGACACGGTCAGCAATATTATCAATAAAATTCCAAAGAATTCATAAGGAGGCTCTTCGCTACTTTATTTAAGAAAATTCAAAATGTCGAAAATATATTATTGGGGGGGCTCTAGCCCCCAGCCCCCCCTGCTCCGCGGTCCCTGACGAACTGCAAGAGGTCTATAGCAGACTGTATTGTGAGAAAATCAACTTAGTGGAGTCTTGCTTTTTTTCCTATATTCTCACTCATAGTGAAAATATATATTAACTTTCATTATGCTTTTTACTYTAGTACATTCAAATTCTTTGCCTTCGCTCCTTATGCCGATCGAGACGCGCACAATCTTATTCTACCTTCATACTGTAACTGTTCCACGCTATTCTTCTTTAATCCTGTTGCCTTCACACCCTCTAGTTTAACTAACTCAATTTAAATTAATAAATTATACGTGCAAATGTTATTTTCAATTTTGGCCTGAAAAGTTKACTTTCTTTCTTTCTTTTAAACCCGATAGCAATGTGACTAGCGTTTACGACGCATCTACAATTTTAGCCACGAAGTTGGACCTAATACTTACGTGAAGCAGTTTATCGTTGTGGCCTGGGAACGAGTTATGATAATATCGCGTGCAATGACGTTGAAATTGTACCCTTCTGTTTTTGTTTTCCTTTTCGTCGAAATTTTTTGATGAAACCAAAAAATGTGATAGTAGAAAGACCCTGTATAAAGGCGAATGTTGAAAATTAATGGCTGGTGGGCTGCCTGTTGACCTAATAGGGTAAATTCGAAGAGAATAAATTAAATCACTTTTAGTAATTCAAGCTGGATGGACAACCTTAAGATTAGTTTCGTCTCATATTGTCTCTTTTCCAATATCATGGTTTGTTAAAACAGGGWATTATAACCTGGCGAAGAAAAGTTTCAAAAAATGTTTATATGTGCGTCTGGTTAGTGCTTTCTGTATAATTTGGTCAGCGGTTTTCCATATAGCAGATGTTTTTCCTAGATAAAACAAGCGAACAACACTCTTCTCTTTAGGAGCAAAATCAACGCGAAATCTCGCTGAAGTCCGCATACAATTGACCTCTACAAGTCTAATACCCTTTTAAAAAGAAATGGCGCTGAGGTAAGTCGAATATTCTACCGCAAAAATTCATAAGAAAGTGGTTTTGAGAAAATGGAAGAAAAAGCTTTGGACAGAAAACTAACATTCGACCACTTCTCGATCGATTGACTGATGCCTTGAATTTCGTTATTTTGGACTCTACTGCACAATTGTGATAAAAAATGTTTCTCCTTTGTTTTGACCGAGGTATTTTCCCTGCTATTGTTTGCTTTACTGTAATGATCCGGTCGAGAAACAAGAAGCACTTCTATAAAAAGAAGGCAATGTGAATAGCACCATTTTGAATCTATGCTTTCGATATGAGAATCATGTACAAAACCTTGACTCATTGCCGAATTAATTGAATATTCCGTTTTTTAAATGGCATCGTTTGCTTATGCCGTCAAGAAGCATTTTTTTTCTGAAAAAATATTGTAGGAAGTTCGAAAGTCTATTCACATTAATCAACATTTTGCTCATATGACAGCYATTTTCATACAGCTGTGTGATTTCATTTGTATTGTGAAGTTTTGAAGTGGCAAATGTAAGCTTGCATCTACTTACATTTGCAATATAATAAACTTATCAGCTTTGTGTTCAGGTGCTATTATATTTCATTTTCAAAATTTTAATGCTTCCTCCAAAATCACAATTATTCTAATTTATTTGATAATTGTGTGTAATTACATGGCATCTGTTGTATTTTTAACCAATGCATGACATTCTCTGTTTATTAAGAAATAATTGCAAAAAAATAGACCCCATCTGAATTGATTCGAATCTGTTGAATATGATTTTCTTCCTTTCRTTTTTTATTTTTATTTTTCAAAAGGGTAATTTTATATTACATAAAAACATAATCAACTTTTGCCTTAAGGACATCTAGACATAAAGAGACCCATATGTTACAAGCAGGTGGGTTTATTTATAAATCTGTGTTAAACAAAACAAAAACCTACAGAGAAATAATAAATAAAGAATTCCTGCTAATACTTATTTTCAATACTTATTTTATTACATTATATAATTTCATTTTCTTGAACGTCTTTGCAAAATTTCTAAAAGGAATGATATCATTGAAGAAGAGAGCTCACTTAGGTAAGATGAGGTGTAAGTTGAGCAATAAAATGAGTCTGAAGAGAAAATTAAGAAAGAAAAATTACATTGTAACACTGTGAATTGGTTCAAAATATGACAATAAAGGGGAATGCATTAGCACCATGCCAGGGGCAGATTCAGYGAGAGAGGAAAAAGGGGAATTTCAGCTGTCTACATATAGAAACGTTTGTAGYAGGAAAACTCTTGTTTCTGGATTATTAGCAACCTGTCGTTAAACATCAAATTCACTTCAGTGAACCATAAAATCACCATAAATTCTTCACAATGGATCTCATGCACTCAACAAAGTCGGGCTTAGGATTATTATTAGGGAAGCAAGGGTGGCCGAGCAGTGAGAGTGCTGGCCTGTCACCTCTGTGGACCCTTTGGAATCTTGGTCAGGGATGTTATACGTGATTTGAGTTTCTTTTCTTTTATTAATGCCAGGTTACACATAGGATTAGCCTAAGACAAGGATTACCAATTGRAAAAACCCAGAAATTCCAAATTTTATCATGATTTGACCAGACTTTTATTCTAGTGCAATTGTTAGTTTTTTATTGTAAGTTATGTATGATTGCCATAGGGTTCATGTCTGCACTTGGAATGTGATGTCAACACAGCCACCAGATGTTGATCTCAGAGAACTGCTGCATTTAGACAATGAAGAAGACATCCCTGATGTTGTAGCTGTTGGGTAAGTATGAAATGATTGGTTGATATTGTATAAATCTAGGTGCATCCTATTGACTTTATTTTGGCAATTAAGGGAGTATGAATACAAGTAAATAGCTAGCTCTTGTTASGAAGAAAATTGGATGAATCTTCCCCTCTTTCTCCTCTCATCTCCTACAAAAGAGACAGCTACACAGTCTAATAAAGGAAAGCAAGGGGGTTGCTTTATCTTATATTCAAGTCTAATGTGAGTCTTTTTACAGACTACAAGAAGTGGATGCTAAGCCCCAGTCTCTACTCATTGAATATATCAAAGAAAACTCTTGGGTCAAGCTYATTCAAGCATACTTGGGTGCTTATGGACTTGTCAAGGTAGACACTGAATTAATGTAAATTGTTCTTTTGATTGTCATTTAGCAAGAAATGTTTAGCTCTGTCTTAATACATAGCACTGTTCGACAAAATTAATAAGATCAAACATACAGTGGGGTAAACACTATGGTTACAGGTGGCTTCTGCAAGTACATGCATGTACTCCTGTATTATAGTCATGTGCAATACTATTCTCTATAGGTTTYCTGGCTGCTCTGGTTATTTTGATAGTTGATGATTTTTTCCTGAATTATTAATGATGATTAGTGATAATTTTTAATGATATTTTTTATCAGTTGCGGTCTATTAGAATGTTGGGTATGGTCCACCTTGTGTCTGTTCATATGAGACATCTAGCACATGTGAGGGAGATTCGGCCAGCATTTTGTAAGACAGCTTTCTTAGGGTTGTTGGTAAGCATACACTTGATTTGTTTTTCTCATAAGATAGCATGGCAAGCAAACTTTCATATCTTGCACTGTTCAAGTTTGTATGATTTATTTAGGAATATATGGATTAATTACACTTGTGTCTTGCCTAAAGTAGAATGTTTATTGTAAAACTCCCTGCTTAACACCAGGGAACCCAAACTGACAGACAGGGTGTTTATTTTTTTTACATATTTTTACATTATTTTCTACAAAATTTAATTTTTTGAAATATTTCAGGGTACAAAGGGAGCCGTTGCTCTACGGTTCTGCTTGTATGGGAAGTCATTTTGCTTTATTGACAGTCATTTTGCAGCCCATGCTGAATACACAGACCATCGAAACATGGTAAATATATATCAAACATCTTGATAAACATGTACATTGTACCAAAGATAAGGTGAATTCTATGTAGGAACAGGATTCTAACTAKTATCCTACATAGGAATAGGATCTTACATAGGATCACATTCTTAATGTAACATCCTAAGTACGAATAGGATCCTAAACAGGATACTGACAAGATCATCCCGGTTAGGATCGTGTCAGGATCAATTATTATCCTAGCCAGGATTTGCACCAGAACACAGCATAATTTGTGGATTTTTTTTCAAACACTCTCAAGCTGTTTCAATTATTTTTGTACAATGTAGCTTTTGCTTTTTGATGGGATACCCAGCACGAAACACCTACCAATACTCCATTTAACAATTCATTGTCCTAGTGCCATCCTGGACTGCAGTTGAGCTTATGATAAACATAAACTGACAATGTAAGACAATGACAGGGACCTATCTTTGCTAGCTCAACTCACTTTGTTGCTAAGGCTTTTCAGGTTAGGTCCTGGGCAGTGTAAGATAATAATAATTTATTGATCAATATGATATTTTRATATTTATATCTTTGAATTACTCTAAAGGAGAGTCAGACAGTTTCAGACTACATCACTTTCCCAAACTGCACCGCACAGAAAACACCACAGAAAATACTAGATCATGAGTAAGTTTCTAAAATCAGTATTAAAAGTATATTTGGGTAGCTCAATATAAATTGTTTTAAATCCCTACRACAGTTGTAGCCATGTKGTAAGGACGACTTATGCAGGTTGCATGCAATGGTTGTAGGCAAAMGTTGTSCCGTCTAAATCGGCCTTAATATGAGGGTGCTAATTAGCATTAGAAGATATTTTCTGTGTTCCCATTCTCTGTTGAAACACKCGGRATTGGGAGAACACGACAAATGTTTTGAATCACGAGCTGAAAGCTTTTATAAAATAACAACTTTTTGCTTGACATTCATGCTCTTCTATGTTTTCTTGTGTATTTCAACCAAGCAATGCACTCGTGTTATAATAGTTCYTTTATAACTCTCTATTGCTCTTTCAGCTATGTGTTCTGGTTAGGGGACTTCAATTACAGAATCAATGAATCATCAGAAAACATCAAAGCACTTTGCAGTGGACAAGAATACACATCACTATGGCAACATGATCAGGTAACACCGTTGCCTTGGGGATGGGATAGAAGTGTAATAATATACAATAGCTGCTATAGGTGGTTTATGGGCTATGAGATGGTAGGCCTAAATTTAAGTAGATTAGCCCCCGCCTGTAGCAAGGAATCGTGCTTCGCGCTCGAATAGAGCGGATTTCGTATGAGTGGGAAACGGACGGTACTGTACTGTGACCGTAATTGTACTGTAACCAAATCCTAGTGCCCCATTGATTCACCAAAATTTTGCAGGCCAGGTCCGGTAACTGTGCGGTAACCGTGCGGTAACGGTTTTCCACTCATACGAAATCCGCTCTATTGCTTTCTTTCCAAATTTCACTCAGGTTTCAAATTTTTCTCTTTTTTCACATTTTTTTGCCAGTTTGAATTTCGAAAGAGAACCCCACTTCTGTCAAGGCTTACCCTAGGGCATARATTCATTGAAACGCAATTGAATAAMGATAATTCTATTAATTGTAACATTATAATGTGTTACTGCTAACTAACGTACTATCTTATGGAATTGTCGTACAAAGTTTTTCACACATATAAATAGTATTGTAATTGCCGGCCTCGTATTGTTACCATTCTTATTTTGTTGCAGTTATTACAAAGTCAGAGTAAAAACCTTTGTTTTGTGGGCTACAAAGAAGGACCGTTATCCTTCCCACCTACATACAAATACAATCCAGGGACAAATGACTGGGACACAGAAAGGTATTGTGGCAACCAGTATAACATGACTCAACACTGCGCGTTTATATTGTTCATATTTCATCGATGTGAAAACGCTCTCGAAMGYGAGACCATCCAGTGCCTTAGCCCGGGGATTTTACGTGATTGGACACAAAAAARCGAATATTAGATTGTAAAGGAACGCTATCTATATGGGTTTTAATGGCATCACAAGATATGCATGTAAGTCTCTAGTGATGTTCAGTGAAACAATTGTGCAAAAAGATAAAGTTTAACACTGTAAAAAGTAGTGAAACAACTTTACTCTCTACTCCGATGAAGGATTTAGCCATTTGCGTTGGAGGCTTTGGCGACAATTTCCAAATTGTTGTTTACGGAAGCTCACAATTATACGCTGTAGACGTGAAGCAGTCGATGGTTACAGAAAATTAGGCCGTTTAAAAACGCTTTTAAGTGAAATTAACGGAGAATATAATTACGCAAAGTCCTTTGTGTGCAGGCATAAATTTTATTAGTTTATTTGTCGTTTGTTTGCATGGTTACAAAATATGACTTCAATTTATGGGAAATTAAAAAAATGTGATACTTTAATTGAAAGGTTCATGTAGTCGAGTGTTGTTGGTTTTTGAGCTAGCATTTTTTTACAACTGGGACAATTATCCACAGATATCGTTACAAGATTAACTGACAACTGTCTCCCTTTATTGCAAAGTTCCTGCTTCATGAAACGTTTTTGACGATACTGGAGTCTAATAAATGTCTATGGTAATGCTTTTTTTATTATTTTAGTGGTAAATTCAGAAAACCAGCTTGGACAGACAGGGTGTTATGGAAAGAAAATGATATCAAATCTGAAACAGTTCAACTTGTAACATACAAATCACATGATCAGTACATGCCCAGCGACCATAAACCAGTTAGTGCTTTGTTAGCAATTGACCTTCATGTAAGTATCATTCATCCATTTGGTCAAGTTCGATCACTCGTTTGATTCACTCGCACCTCACGTGCTACAAATCATTATWRT